TCTTTGCACAGTTATAGAATTTACAAGAAAAGCCCTAAATTGTCAGCTCAAAGCTACAGAAATAAGAAGAAATTAATTTAGGGCTTTTCTTGTAAATTCTATAACTGTGCAAAGAAAGGTCGTACAAAGCTGGGAGATATCTCATTTTAATCAGAAATGTGCGGGCTACAATCATACCTCATTAAGAACGGTTCGGGTTATATTTTAGAGTTTTTGAAAAACTGGTTTTCTAGAAAATCGGGTCGTCGAAGGGCTATGGGGAAGCCTCATGGTCGTATCCGTAATCAGCATGGTCGATAACCTATAACCCACTAGATTTCGAGCAAAAAGCGTTTAATCACTTCGAGGGGTTCCCTCGTGAGACTTCGATGGATGTAACGAGTGGGGCAGAAGAAACCGATCTCTCAGTATTTTGTATTCTTCTCTTGTTTCTCAAGTCCGATTGCGTCAGTCTTCTTTTCATTAGATTCTCCGTTCAATCCTCTATAGAAAATGTATTGTCTCATTGCAAAACAAAAAGATGAAAAATGACAAGAAACATTGTGCGAGGCACCAAAAATGGAGAAAAGAATTAACATATGCCCTCATACAGAATTAGATTTTTCGAATGATTTTCACAAGCATTAGAACGTAGTCGGAATATATGTTTGTGCAAGTTCAAATGCGCTCATTTTCATCACATACAGCAAATTTGTTTGACTCAAAGATTGACTTCCTAGGGATTGAGCGAAAACAGCGAAAATTTGAAGCTTTTCTGCGTGCTATAACAAAGAAATTTTTATCGATTCTTAGTGATCTGACAATATAGACTAATCATTTGTTTTCAAAATAAAACTGAATTCAACCTGAAAAGACGAAGTTTTGAGTGAACTGTACTTGTTTTATTGAAAATCATAACTTACTAGTAAAATATCCTCATGTTTAGGAAATTTACAAAAAATAATAAAATTCTTACGCTCCGCAGAAAATTTTTTAATTGTGGGTCACAGATAGAGCTTTTCAAGGCCTACACGATGGCTACTTCAGCTGTTTTTCTCCAACAAGCGTTTATCGAATACAATCAGAAAAACTGTTTTTTAATTAAATTTGTCCATTTTGATACTTCGCATAATTTCTCTTGTCATTTTTCACCTTCATGTTTTGTAATAAGACACTCAATACATTTTTTGTAGAGAATTGAATGTGAAATGTAATGAAAAGAAGACTCAATCTTAAGACACAATCGGACTTAAGAAACACGAGAAAAACACAAAATACTGAGAGGTCGATTTCATCTGCCCCATCCTTTAAATGGCTTAGTCATATATAGTCTGTTCACTAGCTTCTTTTATTTCGAACAACAAAGAAAACAACGTTTTATTGAAAAAAGTTTGTTTTCAGCATACAGATATTAATAACAAAACAAAATTTAATTAATATGCAAAAATTCAATGGTATACGGTTGATGTTTAATTGTAGTAGGAGTTGTTGTTTGAGTTTGTTTAAAATGTTCGATGTAAGCGTCGAGTCCATCTAGATTTTCAAATAAATCCAAGTATAATTCGACGAGTGAAAAGAGTTTCTTAATTAGTTGACGATTATGTTTTTGAAAAACAAACGTTGAAAACTGAGAATCAATTAGACAACATATCCAATCTAGATAGATCTGACAAGTATCTTTCGTAAGAGTCGTTGTCGATAACATATCATAAAATTTCTCTAATAATCTTGATATTTGTTCACCATCCATTGTTGAACGAATAGCTAATGTTAAGGCTTGGTTATTGTAGCGACGATGGAGAAATATGACAGATAAATCATCTAAATTTGAATAAACATTGAAAAAAAAAAAATAATATAGTATACTAATTTTCAAATACGCATACCCTGTAGATGTATCATTGCTCGACATAACTGCTTTTCCGATAGATCTTTGACATGTTTAACAAATATATGCAATGTTTGATTATCATTTTGTTCAATTATTTTGTCAAACAGAAACGATAATTGGATGCCCGATAAATAATGACCAGTTTTCTCTAATGCTTCAATGATGACATTTTTATGTTCATTATCTCGTCTAATATAGACTGTTTGTAACAGAAGAGCAAGTTTTTCTACTAATGAATTATTTGGAGATGATAAAAGTTGATCGATTGTGACAGATAAATATTTGAATAAATCGACATTTGATACATTTAATGATAATACAGTCCCACCTTCTTCCAAACACAATTTGCACTGAGAACCCAAATCACTTATATTTGAAGATCTAAATGTAACATAAAACAACAATTTTAAAAACAGAGCAAGACAAAACTCGGATAATATAAAAAATGTAGGAAAGTGATAGAAAGCCGTTTATTAACGCAAATACACTTCTGTTAATTTAACACATTTTAAAATACAGATATGCATACAGCCCTTCCATCCGTACCATGACAATATATTGATTAACAGCGTTTTAATGCGCATTATGAGTTAAATGTACTTCCATCATTACGTGTGTCTTCTGACTCACTTTCATGCATTTTTGCCAGTGTGAAAAGATGATAGAAAAAAGTTGAACATCTGTACTTCCGTCTAGAAAGGTTGGGTGGCATGCTCAGATCGTCAACTGCGTAAATATCTTAGTGAATTTACAACAAGAATAAAAGGGAAACAAGTAAGAAGGATGCCTTGGAACTCATACTGCTACACAATTTTGTTTTGTGTATGATTTTAAGAATTTTCTGCTTTTGGATGTTTTTCCCTGATCATAAAGACTTCCAAGTGTCTTTTTATCTATAGTTTGTGGAGGCTGCCTTTCCCATATAGGCCAGCTAAAGTGCCATGTGGCACTTTAGCAAAGTAACTGCAGTTACTTTTCGGATCAGAAATATACATTCAAAAAACAGCGGGTCGATTAAAATCGAAATGTTTATTCTCTTGTATTTTATCGAGTAAAGTCATATAGAGCTAGAGAAGAAACCTTTTTTTGACACTCTGTGCCGTCAAAAAAAGGTTAAATACGGCAGTAAAAATGAGTTTTCGTTTTATTTCCGCATGTTAGGAGTATAATTCCGGATTTCTGACTTGTACAGGTGGCAGCTCTGATCCCAACCTTCAGATATGGTTCCGATTATTTTGCACATTTTTTCTATTTTAAAAACTTACTTCATACGGATACTTGAACGTCTACAAAATTTTAATGGCACAACAACGAGAAGTTAAAGAGGAGATGTAAAACGAATTGTTCCCTTGACTTTAGTCTAAGGTCTTACAAAATGGTTGTCTTGTCTGTTTTCTGTGCGCAAAATACAGAAAAATGGCTGTCAGATATTCGACGGATAAGCCAACCAGAAGAGAAAAAATTGAAAGTGCTTTTTTAACCATGAGAGATAAAATATTCAAAGAGATAGATGAAATATCTACTGATGCAGAGAGAAAAAAGCTAAGCAAACCTTTTCTGTTCGGGGATAGCTGTCGCTATAAATCAGTCAATTTTGATAACACAAAAAGTGGTCTATGGATCATAATAAAACTTTACAGAATATACATAGTGTATCATAGCGAATCGATTATGAATGCTTTCAGCTCCCTTGAGATCTTCAGGGGTGTCGAGAAAGTTTTTTAGCTTTATATTACATTGGGCGGTTTTTCCGCAGAATCAGAGAATTTCACAACATTTGTCATTTATTCTGGCTGCGAACGCCGAGCGAAAGGAGATGTGATCATTGTGTTGAATTTAGAAATATTTTTAGACCTCTGGAGATCTTTGGAGGGTCTCGAAAAGAAACTTGTTAGATTTATATTAGATTACGAAGCTGAGACATCAAATCAGAGAAATATTCATAACATATTGTAGATAGTTCTCTAGCGAACACCCCCAGAAGGAAGGCGTTCTAATCGATCGTCTAATAAATATTTGTGTGATGTGACTCCCGCTAAACAAAATGTCTTTATGCAGAGAGTGATCAACACTGTAAAATAATGTCACGAAAAAACATTGCAAACGACGGAAAAGATGTGACAGCACTTTTGATTCGATCCGAAGCAAAGAAAACAATTTAAAGTCTCATCGTTTGCAGCGATTTTAGCGTCACTTTTTTACAGTGAACTAAGTATGTTTAATATAATTCGAAAACATTTTTGTAAAATCATTTTACATAAAAGACAGACATTTTCGGATTTATAACCCTTGCTCTCAACCAAGGGAAAAAAATGCCATAAACGTTGTTACGGATCATATAGTAACCACTTTTTCATTTTATCACTCTTCTCTCCCGTTGTTTTGCGCTTTTATTTAGAGGCGGTACTTTCTCGTTCCTTTCTCAAAAAAAGAAAAGTAAGAACTTTCTCTTTCGACTTCAGACCGAACTTCAGAAAAGTGATGGGCTGAGTCTAGCACGAAATCGTTTGTAAAACTGTTTTCAGTTCGTGTTCTAAAACGTGAACCTATCTCAGGTTTCTTCTACCTTTTATAGTTGAACTTATTGTTGTTTTCATCCATATTTATGCAATTTAAAAAAACATTTTTCCCCTAGTTGACTTTCATTTCCTGTTCTCCTTTTCTACACTATGGTCTGTTAGAATTACCGAGATATTTACCATTCTACGCCATCGAGTGCGTTACTTATGTGAATATCTCGAAGAGTCTAATAGATCGTTCAAGAACGAAATAAGTAATGATAGCCCACTTCTTGTTTAGATTCGTAACCTTCAGTCAATGAATTTCTTTCCTTTAAAAACGAAAAGGTGCTTCAATCAGCACAGTTTTTTCGATCCTTATACTAATCAACATGAAATAAGCATTCTGTATCATTGATTATTTAGGCCCCACTGAACATTTGAAAAGAATTCAAGAGAACTTGATGTTGGAAAAGCTGATAATTCTCACATCTTCCAGCACCTACCCCCTACCGTCATCAATCGTCACTCAGGTCCAAGCTCTCAGGCAGTAAACGACAGTATCGTCCCTTCAAATACGATGAAATACGACAGTCGCATATATGGTGGGTTACGATACCATATAAACGATGAATACGATGCGGTTACGACAGTCGTTTACAATCACATTGATCTACTCAAAATATTTTCAAATCTGTTTACGTCAGGCACTATAGCAAAGGTTTAATTTCTTTTATTGAAGCTTCTTATGTGTTGCGTAAGACTTTTTTTATTTGAAAGTTGATGATGGACTGACTTACGGAAATCAGCCCATTTGCCTAACCATTAGACAAACAGAAAGCAGCTAAAGAAGTAAACAAAATGGAAATTTCAGAAAGCAAAGTGGTTCGCAAAGTGATTTTCTTCATTATCAAAATGGACAACAAGGAGGAATTCATTTTTAGAAAGTGAAAGACCACTTTGCTCTCAAAGGGCCATCAATCATTAGAAACACTGTAGGGGACTATCTAAAATACGTTGTGAAATTTTCTCTGATTTGATGTATAAGGTTTGTAATCTAATGTAAATCTAAAAAATGTTCTCGGGACCCTCCAAAGATCCTCAAAGGCCTAAAAATATTTTTTAAATTCAAGAAAATGCTCATGCCTGCCTTTGATCAGTTCCGTAGACTAAAGTCAAGGGAATAAACGTGCTTCCCTCGTAATTTTTGCCCGTGCTAACACACTTTTTCTTCATTTAAACTGTACATCAAATTTTTCGATCAAGAATTACTCTTTCTTTATTTTGAACTTCGGATACATATTCTGCTGCGAAATATAATGCTTGTATGCATGTATGCTTCACAGGGTAATAAGCAGTTTATTGTCCTTGATATTTTTTTCCACGGGCAATTGTTCCTAGTTATCCTGCTGGCGGCTCGCCAATGGAATAGAGTAACCTCCAAAGGATTCGTGCGATGATTAAGAGATGACCGAGATATTGAAGTTTTATTGAATTTTCCCTGCAAGACCCCAGTTCACGTTCACCAGAACACTCGCGTTCACGTTCAAAGAACGAAACGTGAACTTTTACAGACTTATTCATAAGTCAAAAAATATCCGTTTTTCAAACCAAGACGAATATAAATTATTCAGTTTGTAAGTTTTCAGTGCTCAGATTAGAATTCTCAGTAGCTATTTATAAGTTTTAGCCTTGACAATTCTTAGTATATTTTGTCAGATTATTTTTTATTCACACGATTGTGAAGATCGATTAACGAAACAAGAAAACATAAAATAATGTATATGTACTTATTCCTATATTCTTATCGTTGTTTCTACTTTAGGCAGTTCTATTTGTGGAACAAAGAAATTCGTATCAATGTCAAAAAAAAGCGTAATTAATTCTTTGTTTCTAAGTATACGTTAAACTGAAAAAAATAGCGCTCACCATCATGTTCGTTTATGATTAAAGGTTTAATAATAACAAATGTTTTTAACTAAAAACATAACAATAATAATAACCTTTAAAAAATTTTAAAAAAAGACTAAATCAAAACTGCAAAATTTTGGAATGTAACCGAAGTTTAATGAATGGTTTTTGATTTTTCTGTCCATCTAATACCTTCCTTTTTCAAACGTTCTAAAATCGGTTTGTATATTTCACGTTTAATAGGTACAACAACTCCAGTTTGATGAATTTCTTCTGAAAATAATAGAGCACACATTATTTTAAAGATATCGACAAGAACAGTACATATACGCAATGATTTGACATACTTTCTAATAACATTTTTGTAGCAATCGCAGCTGGTAGTCCTACTGTTTTTGCCATAGCTGAATGAGGTTGTTCGATTTTTGTTGTTGATGATTTTGTGTTGTCTCCGTATATGACCATTTCAATAGTTCTTATCTCTTCTGATGATTTTGACTTCATTGTTTGAGGCCATTTAATACCAACTTCATGATACATAATGACAATATCACGTTCGTTAGGACCTAAAGATAACTAAGATTAATAACTATCAGGAAATTTTTACATTTTCATACCGTATGCCAAACGTTTTGATAAATAATTGCTTAATGTATCTAGTGGATTTTCACGTTTATCAATAATATCATCGGATAATAAACCAAGACTAAAACACATAATCATTTTTATCAACAATCAAAACCAATTTAGTTTTAATCTAATTTACTCTTCAATCGTGTGTAATTGTTCTTCATTGTTCAATTTATTTGAAATTAAATTCTTTAAATTATCCACAGACGTTGAACGATGTTCATCAACTAAATCACACATGAATTGTTTCTAAATATTATAATGTTACATATGAGTAATAGATGTTTATACTCTGATTATTATAAAACTTTATTCTAAAAAGTGATAGACAAATGCATTACCCATGTCAAATCATTTTCTTTCGAATCATTTCGTAAATGTGGATGTTCTCGATCACTTAATAAACCAAGTTTGATTAAACCCAGGGCACCTTGACAAAAACCCTAAAAAGATCAAAAGAATAGAAGAGATATAACTCTATCACTGTTACTTTTTCTTTATCATACCTTATATCGTAGTGTACCTCTGAGTATTGTATGAACACTATTCAGTTGAAATGAATCGATATACTGAATACTGTCTCGATTTGGATAACATTCCAGATTGAATGCATGTAGAAATTTGGCTGGATGACAGCCATTTTCAATAACACCACCATTTCCTTCGAGTTCAATTATCTAAGCATACACATACACACAGCTGTTATATTGAAAAACAACACTTTTACGATATATTTTTAAAATACGTTAACACCTACTAGCAGTCTAGAATTAAAGTCTAATACGGTCGGTCAATAGACAGAAATTGCCGAGTTAGTTATACTAATATCGAACAATACTCAGGTAAATACTTAATAAAAAATACTAACAGTTGAAATCGAGTCACTAACGCCATTATCACCCAAAACTGGCACGAGCTTTGTGCTATTTGATTCTTAATATTTACTAAATTATAAAGTTAGCAAGGTGCTGACATCTTCATGAACGTTAGTGGACATTAGCGTATTTTACAAACATCCTTTTACGCCCTACTTTTCCATTTTTCATATATTTTGCTTGATTCAATAAAGCACTCAACACTCCACGCGGTGACCAACTAAACAAGTAGTACTCAATGTTTAATGATAAAGAGATGTTTTCTAGACCACCAATTACCTAAATTTGTATCTTAGTGAATTATCTGCGTGTTCTGGTGCAGGTAATCCTCCGCAATAAGATACATAAGATTGAATACTTCCACCATCATCTTTAACGTGATCAAATAAATCCATGGCTAACATATGATCAATACCCGGATCTAGTCCAACTTCATTTAACAGGATGCAACCAGCTTGTTTTGCACTAGAATATGAATACAATGTATACTTTAATCGGCTATTTTAGGGCAAACTACTTACGCATCATGTAATAATTTCATTTTTGGTGACACATAACTTGTTGTCACTAAATTCCGATGATGTTTAATGCATAATTCGGCGATTGTTGAATGATGCGAAAAAGGCAATAGACTAAAAAAAAGATAACAACAATCACAGCATTTATTTCTTCTTTTTTATGATTATCTTTGATCAGTAGATGATAGAAAACTTTTCTGGAAAATTAGATGATCTTATTCAAACGATATCAATTTGTGGCAAAATAGTGTTGAGAAAATTTGTTTAATTGACTCTCATGTGTAAAAAAAACGAGTAAAATTGTAAAAAATGCGAACTCAATAAATGATCTAACGGCCAAAGGATGCCGTTGCTACGGCCTTAGACGTTTTTTTCCGGCAGTTTTTCTTTGCCTTACATACATTGCAAAAGACTTGTAATCAATAATTATCCATTCAAAATAAAATTTGAGCTTGGTTTCGTCTAAATGCACTTAG